CACTGGGGGAGGCAGGCCTTTTGGTGGTAACTGAACATTCTGTGGCTGCGATATATGTCACTCTCAGCAGAGAAGCAATGACCAACGGCCTTGAAGACTTTTAACCTTGTCCTTTATGGGATCGCGTGGTCCCAATTCTGACCTCCCTTTTACTACCTTTGGACAGAATCCACGTCATCCCAGTGATACCAGACCAACCCTGGGCTCCTGTCGCTGCACACCTGAGCCTCTCGCCTGGCCTGCCCCCTTCAGACCGTGATCTGCAGGTGGAGGCGAAACCGTCCTGCACCCCCGTTCCCATCTCCTGGGCCATGACTGTCGCACCCTCTCATCCCTGGGTCCCCTGTTTCCTGCCAGGTCCACAGCCTCAGGGAGGAAGCACTTCAGACCTAAAGCCTGCAAACGGAGCCTACAGAGAGTTCTGGAAGGACTGCTGCCTTTGGAAAGCCAGCTGAAGCAAAGTTGAGTCACCCTGCACCTGCATTTCCTTTACTGAGAGCCCTGCCACACTCAGAACCCATCTCAACACGTACTGTCCACCTCGAAGGACGGCATCCCCCACATGGGGACACCCGCCCCCAAGGTGGTGACACTGTGGTGACAAAGCAGGAATCTGTCACCACTGCCCAGATTCAAGCTTGGATTCCCTGCCTCGCCATCCATGTGGCTCACACCCGCTGACCAGACCTCATGCTCATCCACAAACCAGGGTGGTGCAAGCGCCCAGGGCCCAGAGGGACACTGAGCCCAGGGAAGGCTCTCGACACCACTGGTCACCACAGAAACACAAATCCAAACCACGCGGGGATGCTACCCCCATCCTCTAGGATGGATGCTATTTTAAAAGAAAAGGAGAAGCGGGGTGCGGCTGTGGAGGAGCCGGAGCTCCCGCCATTGTCGGGAGGACGGCAGACTATGCAACTGTCTGGGCCTCGGAGACTCCCAAATAGGGTCACCACATGATCCAGACGCCCTCCTTCTGGGGATATAGCCCCCAAAAAGATGTGTGCACACCCGCGTCCTCAACAGCACTGTCCCACCAGCCGAGACGCAGCAGTGAAAGTCGAGTGCATCCACGTAATGGAAGAATCCTGCGTCAGGACACGGTGCTCCCTCAAATGCACCAGTCACCAGACCACAAGGACTGTGCGACTCACTGACTCGAGGTTCCCAGGGTGGAGTGTGTAGGAACAGGGAGGAGAACGGTGCTGACACAGACTGCGGAGGTTCAAGGGACCGTGGCTGAGTGGGGCAGAGTTGCAGGTGGACAAGGGGAACAGGTTCTGTGGCTGTGTTCAGAACAATGTGAATACAGGTAACTCTGTGGACATGTCCACTTCCAGAGGGCTAAGATGACCAGGCACAGTGACGCACACCACAGTCCCTGCTACCAGGAGGATCCCAAGTTCAAGGCCAGCCTGGGAAACTGGGTGAGACCCTGTCTCAAAGTCCAAAAAAATAAAAAGGGCTGGGAATGTGACTCAGTGGTAAAGCACCCCTGGGTCCAGTCCTCTGCACCACCCCCACACAGTGGCTAAGGTGTGCTGGATGCTTTTTATTTCAATTTTTAAAAATCATAAAGTGTACCTCCCCATGAGCGTTTCTAGGGACCCAATCAGGCCTTGTGTGGGAAGCATGCAATACCGCTGGCCCCATGAATACTCAGAAACGTCACCATCACCACCACTGGCCATCCATGAGTGTCCTCGGGACATCAAGAAGTGAATTACTCCGTGTCTGGTTTGGCCTTTGGACACAAGACCTTTATTTATTTTTATGTCGTGCTGAGAATCAAACCCAGGTCCTCGCATGTGCCAGGCGAGCGCTCTACCGCTGAGCCACAACCCCAGCCCCTTGGTTTGGCCTTTGATTGAGATTTTGTTAATTTTTATTTGTTTAATTTTTGATCCTCTCCATTGACTATATTGCTCTCAAAGCCCAACTGCCTTAGTAGTTTTCACATCTATGCTAACGTCACTTATTATCAGGACCACAATGAAAAGTATGAAACGGATTTTTAAGAAAACCACCTGGACCGTGTCCTGTACTTCCCTTCCCTACATGCCTCATTCTAGTTTTAGAAAAATCATGAAGATAATTTCTAAAACTCAGAAGCAACTGTGGTCCTTCAAGAGGTGAATGGCTAAACCAGCTGGGGTACCCCTAGATGGTGAAATATTAGTTAGCAATGAAAATGAGCTCTCAGGTCTCTTTAAAAAAATGCACGTGAAGTGCCTATTGCTAAATGAAAGAAGCAGATCTAAAAAGACGATGTTGCATGATGTCGATGGTACATTCTGGAAAAGGCAGAACTGTGGAGACTGTCAAAAGACCAGAGCCCACCAGAGGTCAGAGTGGAAAGGGCACGGATGATTGGGTGGATCCAGGGGCGTTTCGGAGCCATGAAGCTATTGTGCATGACACTGTAAAGGTGCATACATGACATCACGCATTTGTCCAGGCCCATAAAACGTGCAACACCGACGGGAACTACAGACTTTATTACTGATCACCCATGGATACCGGCTCACAGATCAGAACCAACACATCACACAAAAAATAAAGACAAAGACAGTCCAAGACACCAGAAAACAACTACATGCAAAACTGAACAAGTAAGTAATTATGAAAAGAAATCATCAAGAAACTTCACAGGTGTGATGTCTTTAAGGAAGGAATAATAAAGTCCTAAAGTTCTCATTTCTAAAAACCTGTTACAAAAGGAGTCCCTGTGATATTTTTAAAGGACTTTCTTTTTTCAGTGTTAGGGTCGAAACCCAGGGCCTTATCCATGCTAGGCAAGCGCTCTACCACCAAGCTACCCCCCAGCACTTTTCTTATTTTATTTTGAGGCAGGATCTCATCAAGTTGCCAATGCTGGCCTTGAACTTGCAATCCTCCTGCCTCAGCCTCCACGTAGCTGGGATCACAGGTGTGCACCCACGCTTGGCTGTGAAGTCATAATTTTTTAGTGCAAAATACAACGTGGCCACGCTCAGCTCTGCAGCAACCTCTTCTTTGCTCAGGACAGGCTGAGTGTGGCATGGACCGTGGGGTCCCAGTGGCAGCCACCCCCTCAGGCTGTCACGGTGTATGTCAAATGTGGTCAGCCCCAGCATGACCACAGTGAGATATGGGAAACGAGGGGCTGGGCTGGGGACGGCTTTCCCAACCAACAGCTCCGCCATGGGGCAATTTTTTTTTTGGCTTTCTCAGACCTGAGAAGGGCAGCAGCAACACGCAGGTCTCCCAGGGAAGGGGGGTCCGGGTGGGGCTGGGGTCAGGGGCCAGGAAGTGAAGGGCAGTGGAGGCTGGCTCCCAACCAGGGGTTCTGCCTTTTTTTTGTTTGTTTTTAATGGAGAGCCTAGTTTACTTCTTGGACTCTGATGCACAATTTTATTTGAACAAAGAGTTCCTCGGCTTAAGAAAAAAGCGACATCTGGTTTCCTTCCCTGCAGTCATCTGCTCAGGCGGAGGGATGAGCACCTGTGGGTGGAAGCCGGAACAGGAGGACCCCAGGAGCCTGTTTCTCATTCTGATGGGATTATCGGGGAAGAAGGCACTTTGGCTCCTGGAGACGCGTCCAGCAGCCCAGCTCCCACCTTGGCGGCGGCTGCGGTCCTGTAGGATGTTATCCAGAGGCTCCCTTCCCATCCCAGGCCCGCAGAGCCACCGGAAAGGGGATCTGCAGCCTGAACTCCTGGGCCCGCGCCCTAGGGTCCCGCTTAGAAGACAGCAGACGCTTATTCAAAGTTATTCCTGAGCAGCAAGACACACGTCGGAAGGGAAAGAGGCAGACGCTGAGGTCACCCACACGCAAAAATAGTGGCTCTCAAGTCACACAAGCCTTTAAATGAGATGATGCCTCACAGAGGGAAAGAGTCTGGGACCATCTACAACAGACTTGGGCCCCCAGGCCAGCCAGGCCCGGTGACAATCTGTTCTCCACGCAGACCTGGAAAAACACCCACTGCCCAGGCTTAGACTCTGTGCTTTCTGGTCGGTGTAAAAAGCACCTCGAGGCCACTGCCTTCCCGGAGTCCACCGGTCCCCGCAGCACGTGTGTGCGGGTGTCTGGGCAATGTGGTCCCTGCAAGTGTCACCATTGTACCCTTTGTGTCCTTCCACGGAGACTCAACAAGGAAAACGAGCTATCTGCACACTGATAAGGAAAGTCTGATTCAGAGCTTACGGAACCGTCACGGATTCCCCACTGAGAGGAACCCTGGATGTCTAAAGCGGTCTCACAGGTTTGGACTCGCTGTCGTGTGGCAGAGAGCACCCACCCTGGAATCAGACACTGCGCCACAGCAGCGTGTCCTCAGAAGGCCACTCAATGTCTCTGAACTCCGGTTCCCTCCGTGAGGATGGCAATGTCTGTCTGGCAGGGTTATGACAACTGGGTCACTGTATATGGGATCCCAAGAAATTGCAACTGCCATGATGTTAATATTATCCACCATTTAATCATTAACGTTGTTAGTGTTGGAAAGGATTTTTAAATGGTTCGTGGCTTGCACTTCTTATCGGCCTAGCGTGGCATCTGCTTGACTTGTCCTGCGCTCAGTCCTGTATCCTGTGTCTTTTTATCTGTCGGCTTCACTCTGTGTCTCTCATGGGTTCTGTCTGTGGACACACGTGTTCCTCACGGGGTTTCCTGCTGGTCCACTCGGGGTCTTCTTCTGGGGTCTGAATGATAAGAGCAGGACACTCAGGTCTGCACACGTGCTAACTAGGTGGGTTCAGGACCAGGGAGGTCACAGTACCTCCACCCCCAGGAGTGCAGCGGCAGGGACCTGGCAGGGGGCACCCAGGTCTGAGCTGAGGGTGGAAGATGGCACAAGGAGCCTTGGAAACACAGAGTTCTGGGGAAGGGGACGCGGACGGTGGGACATCTCAGAAAGAAAAGACTCGTATGGAGCCTGAGACCTTCTCCAACAGCAGGAGCAGAGTCTGAGGAGGTGTGCAGACAACATCCCCTCCCTCCCTCAAGACAGCGCCGTGGTCCAGGGCCCCCACTCCAGATGGGCCCGTCTGGGTGCAAGGTCCAGCTCACGCACTTCTCCCCCAGGGAACGCGGCAAGTCACTCAGTGGTTCCCAGCCTGGGGCTCCTCCTCTGCGAGTTGGGGACAAGGGCCCCTCCCGTCCAGTTGCTGAGAACATCAGATGAGCTGACTCAGTTGCCCATCACAATCCTGTGTCGTTGGCCTGCTGGTGATTGCGGTGTGGGTTTCCACGCATCCAGTCCCACAGCCACAAGGGTCCAGGCGCAAGGTGCTTGGGTGTGAAGACCTGCAACCCAAACGTGTCTCTAAAACACAACGTGTCTGGTTGAAAAATGGCAGAGACTTTGCTCACCTCTAGAAACATCAAAGAAACTGGAAACTCACATGGACAGAAAAAAAAAGAGAAGACAGCTGCCCATGGGAGATGGACTCAGTTTGGAAGATGAGAAGCAAGCAGGTAGGTGGCAGCTGACACTGGAGACCTGGGCAGCAGAGGAGGGAGCTGGTAGAGGGAAAGGTAATTTGCACCATGGGACCCAGAAGGTTTTGGAATCTGAGGCCCACTGCCTCGGGCTGCAGGGGTGGGGAAGGGACCAGTATGAGAGTGGGTGCAGCGAGCAAGTCCAGGGCCCCTCCCCTCTCAGGTCCCCTTCCTGCCCCCCTACAGCCAGGTCACTATCAATCCTGTACCCTAGCAAGCAATTCAAGGTTCCTCTCCAGAGAAATCAGGGACTCCAGGCTCTCCAGGGACTGAGGAGGAAGCATCATACTGCAAAAGAAATTAAATGAAGGTAGAGAAACCCGGCCCCAGAGGAGGTCTCCACGTGACCCTCCCAACATGGTGGCAGGACTCTAATCTGACCCTCCCAACATGGCAGCCAGACTCTAATAACCCTCAGCCTCATTCTACCACCTCCCTACAGCAGCAGGTGAGGGTCTCTCCAGAGACTCTGACGAGCCCAAATGACAGAGCTACAGGGACCACAACTTGCTGGCCCTAGGGACCCCTGCAGGCCTCTGCTCCCATCACAGCACCCATCATCCGCCGTGAGACTCCATTCTGGTCTGAGTGCCCCCAGAGGTCATGTGCTGACAGCCAGGTCCCCAGTGTGATGTCATGGAGGTGGAGGGACCTTTGTGAGGTGGGACTTAGGGCAAGATAATTAGCTGGTGGAGGCCCCACCCTAGAGTAGGGTCATTAGGCCAAGCAGCATCACCCTCACGAGGGGTGGAGCCAGCTAGTTCTCAGGTTGTTACAAAGCACGACCACCTATCTGCCTGGCCCCTTCTGCACCAGGCCAGTTCCCTTTCCACTTCTCCACATGATGTGACACAACCAGAGGTCCTTGCTGGGACACCAGCACCACGCGGTTTGAACCCTTCAGCCAACGAAATGTGAGCCAACCAAACCTCTTAAAAAGTACCTAGCCTCAGGCATTTTGTTTCAGCGACAGAGAATGGACTAAGGTGCATTCTTATCATGGTCAATAGCCAAGGACCACCAGGTGTGTGAGAAAGATGTCAATAGGAGAGGTAAACCTAAAACACAAAGAGATGAGGCAAGCAGGAAAAACATATTTTAACTTGTTTAAAACACACACACATCGTTAAGATCCTAGAGAAAGTCAATAGCCAACGCAAAGCCCAGGAAGGAGCTGGTGAGCTGGGACCCGTGACCGTGGGACAGACAGCCGGAGCCACCCGGGGGAGCTGGAAACTGCACCTGCGAAGGTGCCCGCGGAGCTGCTCTTCACAAGCCCAGAAATCCTGCCTCCCTTGCACCACTATGTGCAGGCAGTACTGGGGGACAAAGAGCAATTCCACTCGAAAAGGGGCAACGCTTGTGGAGGAACCTCACAATGGGCACATGACGGCTGTGTGGGTTTGCAGCGCTTCTGGGGATTCTGCAGGACGGCCCGGTGCTCACCGCGGCAGCTGAATGTTCATGTTCCTGCAAATTCATACCTGGAAAGACTAACCCCAGGGTTAGGCTTCAGGAGGCCCTTGGGAGCTGAACAGATGGCAAGGGAGGGGCCCTCACCATTGGGTCAGTGCCCTTATAAGACACGAGAGCTGCCTCCCACCGTCCACTAGGTGAGGACACAGTGAGCAGGAGTCATCTGTGAGCCCTCCACCTTGGACTCCCAGCCTCCAGACTGTGAGCATAGTTTCTGCTGTCTATAAGCCTCGCGCACGGCTTTTGGTGTTGCTCCAGCAGCCAGAAGAGACTAAGATGCCCCCCATCAGTGCCGCACACTGGACCCTCTCCCCGTGTCACCTTAGTAGCACGGCCTGTCACAAAACAAACCAGTGAAGCCAAACTGATCCGTGCAGCTGTCTGACATTATACACACCCCTCCCCAAAAGAACACGCCGATTCATCCTTTGCTTTGTGAAGCCTTAAGGCTTAACGTTCAGATTCATTAAAAAAAAAAAAACTTCTGGGTGGCAATTTACAGACTGTGTGAGAAGAGTAAAGAGGAGATCCCTTTGATGCCACAATTCACTTTCATTTGGGTAAACTGCAGCGTGGTTTGTAACTGATTTCCAACCATGGAGACAAGACCAGGTCCCTGAACCCCGCCCCAGCACAGGACAGCCTGACGGAACTGGCCTGGGTGTGGTGGGAGCCCTGTGATCCGCACCCCAGAGTGAGACCGCCTGACTCAGAAAACTGGAAACAGCCTGATCCTCAGCAGAAGGGGATGGGACGAATAAATCCACCCTCCAGGGGAAAACTGGGGCATTTTAAAGACATGAGACCCAGAGACAAATTTTCATAAGCATACTTAATGACATGGAGGGACACTTAGGATACACTGCTAAATAGACAAAACAGGTTATAAGAATGCATTATGGGGGCTGGGGTGGTGGCTCAGCGGCAGAGCGCTTGCCTCGCGTGTGTGAGGCACTGGGTTCGATGCTCAGCACTGCATGTAAATAAAGATCCATCAACAACTAATAAAAATATTTTTAAAAAGAATGCATTATGGTATGATCCCCAGTGTGGGAGCACATATGGAAGAGTAGCCACTGCCCTGAAATTAAATGCATGACTTACCAGGAGAAACCGCACCTCCTGCTGAAGGGGTTAGGTGCTTAGTCACCTGATGTTCTCTATCCCCATAATGAACAGGAGGACCACCGACACAGTTCAGAACGCACAGACCAGCCACTGATTTCTAAGTTTTAAGCACTGCGAGTCTGTGCAGATTTCACCTCGTGCCCTACCCGGACCGCCGTCACACCCACTGTCCTTCTGCATCCACCTCTGCAAGTGTCAGAGGGAGCCGCTGCTTGGACAATATCCAGAAGCCAGCAACTGGATCTGCCTCAGGGGGAAAGAGGCGAAGGACCCTCTGCAGCTGTCCTGCTCTCTCCCCGAGTCCCAGCCTGGCCCAACCACTCGGCACCATTGGTCGGGGGGCGTGGGTCATTGCACAGAGGTGGGGTGGGGCCAAGGGGGCGTGGGTCATTGCACAGAGGTGGGGTGGGGCCAAGACTGACAGGACACACAGGTTCGAGCTTCCCAGCAAGGGAAAGGGCTGAGCCCACTGCAGGGCAGGACGCCCCGGAGGCAAAGGTGGCCAGACCTGAGTGGCTTTCCTCCTCGGCTGGCTCTTTTTTTTCTCTTTTCTTTTTACTGTTCACTAGTTTATCGTACAGCTTGGTACAAAGGAGACACATGAAGAGGTGCACAGGGTGAGGCAGGAGGGAGCAAGTGCCCCCGTCTAGGCAGGGCCACGTGTCCAGCCATCCGGGAGCTGTGTGTACTTGGGTCCTTACGGAGGTAAGGACGTCAATACGTAGGTGCAGCTGATGGTGATCCACTCTCCCTCACACCCCCTCCTTCCCTGGAGGTAGGGGTGAGGCTGAAAGGCCTGACCCTCGGGTCCTGCCACGGTCCCTCAGGTCAGCCCTCATCCTGGAGCCCCAGGGTACAAAAAGACATCATTTGGAGACCCCAAGGGCTTTAGGAGCTGCACACCAGGAGATGGGATAAGAACCAGGTGCACATTCCACAGCATCGCGGTCCTCTCTGTTCCTGGAACACGGTCCTCTCTTATCCAAGTGACACAAGCTCAGAAGACCCGGCACATTACTGGACCCTTCACTCACAGCCCTGGGTGCCGGCCACCGTCCTGCCTGCGGTGTCTGTCGCGGTGAGGCCTCTCAGGCGAGCTGGCTGCCCTTCCACCTGCCAGCCACGGGGCCTCAGCACCCCGGGAGCTTCGCCCTGGCGCACTGGGGTCTCTGCACAGATGCAAGGTCCCCTCTTGCTCGGAGCCTGTGTCAAGGTGTTCATGTCCCGACGGCTTCTCACAGCTCATGACCCACTTGTCCATTTCTCCGCCCTCAGCTGCCGTCCCTCCTCCCTTCCTTTGCTCCCACTGTGGCCTACGTCCCCTCAGCGTCCCCACCCCACTGAGTGCATCAAGGTCACCCAGGAGAAAGGACAGGTGAGCTGCAGAGGTCTCTGTGGCTTCCTCAGAAGTTTCTGGAACTCAGGTGGCAGCAGAAGGGGCCTGAGAGCCCCGCCCAGGCGCGTCAAGGGCCTCACCACGCCGCCGTGCGGTGCGAGCTGCGTGCTCCGGGGTCCGGCCTCTCGCCGACCGGAGCCATCAGACAGGACGCTGGAGCGCGCAGGAGATCTGCAGTCAGGGCCCACCACTGCGTTGAGGATCTACGGGATGGCGTGGCGTAGCGGGTAGTTTCAGGACTAAGACCCAAAGTGGAGAGCAAAGACATCTTTTGGGACAAGCCCAGCAAGCCCGCGTGACCTCCAGGAACTCACCCGCAGAGCGTGGGGCTCCAGGCCACAGGGACAGAGCATGGCCTGCCGTCCTAGAGCCCGAGAGAGCGTGGCCAAGGCCGGGGCACAGCACGCCCCGCTCCCTCTCCTCAAGAGGCGGACTTGAGTCTGGGTCTTCAACCTGCACACTGACTCCATGTTCTGCCCGACTCAGTCCTCTCCCGATTTGTCTCAAACCACAGAAGCAACACTCCAAGGCCCGGAAGCCTCCACCAACCACAGATGCATGGGTGTGCACCTGCTCGCGGCCGGCCGTGTGCGGTGTTAGGAAGGCCTGGGAGCAACCTCCCCGGCCCCATTCCTGGCCAACAGAAAGAGTCACGGGAGGGCGTGCTCCTGGGAACTGCACACCTCCAGAGGGACCCCGGGGCGGAGATGCAGGGTGGGACGTGTTGGCTGGAGAGGAGGGGAAGGAGGTGACACGCTCTCCATCCCCCGTCCACGGGGCGACCCATGGCCAGGTGCCCACAGGAAGCACCCAGGGCCAGGAGGAGCAGCCAGGGTGGGAGAGGGCCCTTTCCACCCCCCCTTCCCCTCCTTCCTTCCCCCGCTCCCAAACCACGAGCAGGGTCTGCTCTCTCCCCCTGGGGGGGTTCCACAGCCACCTGCCTCCCCTCTCGGGATGGTACCCAGGACCCCCCGCGGAATGGGAGACAGGGGCCTGCAAAGAAGAGGGAGGCAGAGTGGAGAACGACGGGGTCTCAGACTCCCTGGGACTGGAGTGTCCCACCAACCTCATGCTGAAATTGGTATGACCACTCTGGAAAGCAGTGTGCAGATTCCTCAGAAAACTTGGAACGGAACCACCATTTGACCCAGTTATTCCACTCCTCGGTTTATACCCAAAGGACTACAGTGACGCAGCCACATTAATGTTTACAGAAACTCAATTCACAATAGCTAAACTGCAGAACCAACCTAGATGCCCTTCAACAGATAAGTGGAAAAGGAAAATGTGGTACATATACACAAATGGAATATTACTCAGCCTTAAAGAAGAATAAAATGATGGCATTTGCTGGTAAATGGATGGAGCTGGAGACTATCAGCTAGGTGAAATAAGCCAGTTCCAAAACACCAAAGGCTGAATGTTCACTCTGACATGCAGATGCTAATTTATGATAAGGGTCAGGGGAAAACAGAAATTCAGAGGATTAGTCAAAAGGGAATGACGGGAAGGGAGGGGGAATGGGAATAGGAAAGAGAGAAGAAGGAATCGGACACGACTTTGCTGTGATCATAGATGAATAC